GATCACCAAGTCAATTTGGGTCAAAACTTGACATGCAACATCCTCTCGAGTCTTATTCCACTGTACAAGTGGCCAGACACAGGAATTACCATTGAAATCTTTTATATTTGGCAAGTGGCCGACTGGCTAATTTGGCCGGAGAGGCAGTTGCAGATAATATACTACGGATAGCCCTGTTTTAATGAGCACAGTAGCGGACTAGGCAGGAGGGGAATTCTCCGTGGAGATTGCCGCTAAAATTTCCCGACAGGGTTGGGCAGCTTCACGGGCCTCAAAATCATCTGAGATCGCCAAAACCCAGAGTGCAGGCAACAACTTGCTCGAGGAGTTTTGATGGATGGACAGGATACATGAAAAGGCGGATCGCAGATAGGGTGTGATGCCGCTGCCTTGCAGAACGAGTTTCAATCCGCTTCCGAATTCCGATGAGTGAGATAATAGACTATGGCAGGCAGTATAGTTTGGGGGCTGAGTGGCTTCCAGATGTAACACAGCTCTGCTACAATATTGACAATCCACTGAAAGTTGATGCCCAGCGAAAAAGCATCCATTTGTTCGAATATGACGGAGTGTTCAAGCGCTTCTTCAAAAGTGGCGAAAGTATCCTTTTAGTTATACTCAGGCAATCATATTCAGTATATATTCACTATACTTGAGTTGCCTCTCCTCAGACTTCCGCTTACTTCCGTGTGCGCGAAGACTGCTATTTATCTAGAACTCTCGCGCACTTTGTTGTCTCATTCTTACATAGATGAGATATATTTTGGGTTGGGGGAGGACCGTTGATTAAGTACAGTACTACATTCCAAGCCAGGAATGCCTACGAATTCTATACTCGCGGTAACGAGAAACTACCGTGGCATTGGCGGCATTAACAAGAATAGAAAAGTAGCATACAGCACCGAATACCGGCCGATTGGCATCGTGCAGTCCCTCCGTGTAATGCGACTCCAGTCAGCGTTGACCTCAAACACATCTCCGTGCTCTCGCAGATATGTTATCCCTATCATGTTGTATTCCAGTAAACGTACAGAGGATAAAAAGAAAATAAGACTCAGATAACAGTCGTGCCATGCCCGCATTTGGTTTTTGTTGCCAGTAGCGCAATCCCAGAGTTGAATCTGTTAAAAAATCCAAATACGCACAGGATCAAAACAGATACCGGGGTGCCGTTGGTGGAGTTTCCACCAGTCAAATCCAGACACTTGTTCTTGCCGGCCCATAGATGCTTTACACCGTTGGGGGTGGAGCCGCTGGGAACGTCGAGGCATTTGTTAGTGAATGCCTTGAGTTGTGCAGTGAGGGGTGCAACAGGGACCACCCAGAGGGTGTTACTGCCATTTAAGTATGGATGAAGGGGCGCGATTCTCTGCGGTGCAGCCGACGAGGGCTACTTCTGCAGAGCATGCTCCTCGTTCGTTCGAAGCGGGGCCAGGACGCAAAAGGTGTTGTTGATTAATATCGCCTACAAAAATCGCTGTGAGAGTGGAACAGACTCAAGAACCGGGTGGCTACAGCGCACACCCATGGTTGGGGCGTCTACGGATAGACGGATGGCATGAAACGATGGGTCACATATCTATCATTAGAAAATACAAAGACATGTATGTGACAGGAGAAGGAAAGAATGACACAGTGATGAGCTCACGCGCGCGATTGCGGGAGAATGTAAACAAACGGCAGAGGCAAATGCTGGACTGCGACTGGAGGTAAGAACATAAAAAACGACAGCCAAATAGACGTACCCATCGAGCTTCCCCCATACAATACCCTCGTCCCGCGATCTGAGCGCTGGCCGGCCCGCCAAGATAGGGCATCACAATCCCCCAGTATCCTACCTGATGCCCGAGCGAAAGAGGCGTCGTCCCCGCTAACACCGAGCCTCACACACAGGAACAGGCACGCTGTGTGAGAGAAGATGAGTACTTGAGTACCGAGCCACAGGTGAGAATCGCCAGGACGTACCCGCCTTGGCGCCCAATTCTCTATAATTCCCCACCGTGCTCAGGTTGCCTTCCGCACCCCCAGTAAGCCTCCCCATACCGCATCGTAAGGCAGCGGCATGTGAGCGAGAAGCACGACGTCCGAAAAATCGCTTATGGGAGGTGGCGCTAGCGGAATCGTGGCTCTGGTAGATACTGAATGGTCAGTATGTAGATGAGGTGAAGGCATCAGAGGAGCCGGACGTACCGTATGTCCCGTCTCCTCAAGAGGTCTCCCACCCTCGCTATCTCTGCCTGCTGGACGCACGGAAAGGTTGTCCGGTGGCGGGCCTGAGAGAGAGCTGAGCCGTCTGCGCGCTGCCTCGACCACAAGAAACGGAGTAACAACGGCGCGCGCAGCAAGAGGACGGAGCTGCCACGATGAGGTCGGCCATCTCTCGAAGTGGGCGTATGTACCCTCCTCGCCGCGGCATCTCTCGCCCACCCCACCACCGACGAAGCTCCCGTCCACAAACGCGCGGTGCTCGCCTTCGCGGGTATTGTCCTCGCCCCACTACCGAGGGACCCCTCCGCCACGAGGGACAGAGTCGAGCTCGAAGCCGGCGCCACTGACGAAGCCCCATAGCCTGTCCAGGTAGGTAAACTCTAACGCAGTATTCCAGACTCCAGTAGCCGCGGCAGGAGCGCACAGAAAGCACGAGAAGAGGCCTGTAAACGACTTCGTGGGTTGGCCGGAGGCGAGGGCGAGCGATGGTCGTCAAGACGAACGAAGAATGTCGGGGAGGCGCGCGGGTGGTACGAAGAGTATGGCGGTGGCGATACATAGGCGATCTTCCAAAGCCAGCATCGGGTTCCTACCCGTCCCAAGTCGCAGACCCTGCGCACGGGCCAAACGGGGCGGGGAACAAGCCGAAGTGCGTCGTATTGGTGGCGAAGGGGGGTCGTCCATGGGCGTGGCACATGAGATCTGCGGACGGGGAGCATAAGGGGCGCGGGGTATCGAAGGAGGCGGAGCGGGACGTTCGGTAGGTGCCGGCACGCGACGTGGGGCGCAGCGCGGGGGGTGCGAATCCGAGAAGTAAGGGCGTCGAGGGGCGTCAAAGGAGAGCGATGGTGGATGTCGTAGATGTGGCATTGGCGCATGGGGTGGGGGTGTCGCGTCGCTTGGATTTCATGGCAATGATCTATGGCGGTGGTGATGACGGCGATTCTCCGGCGCAGTACGAAGCACAGCAGGTGCGGGACACGCAGAGTACAATGTCGGCGGGGGTGTCGAAGGAGAAGTAGGCGCTGGGGGCAACTCTGGGAAGATCGGGGACGGCAAGTGAGCGTAGTGGGTACAAGGGATAGAGGCGAATGAAGTTGGTGCGCATCTCAGCCGGTGCGGGTGTGCAAGTAGCTGCAGAATGGTGTTGGGGGCAGTGCGATGGCAGTGGCGGACGGCTGTGATAATGATGCTCGGCGTGGAGAGTACGGCGACGTGGAATACACGAAGGGGTTCTGGCTGGCAGGACGCGGGGGAGCTCAGCAGGCAGTGGCTTTACGGGGTGGTGTGATTATCCGTGCTACGTTCGTACACGAGTGAGAACGAAGCAGGACCCAAGCTCTGCGGTGGCAAGAAGGAAAGGCGCCCGACTGGGAGACATCGGCGTTGGGCACGAGGAAGGAGTGGCACGAACGCGGCATCGTAAGATTCGTAAAGTAGCGAGAGCAACATGGAACGAAGATCAAGGAGGAGGACTTGCCGTCTCAAAACAAGCGGGGAATCGGGAAAGACCGGATGATTTGATGAGATCACAATCGGTCATCTTCAACGCTTCATTCTTCCACTCGTCTATGTACGACTTCTAGCATCGAACCTGGGCGAAGCCTGGCTCCGCAATATCTATGGCAACATCCGTGTCGAAGAAAAACGGCGCTGCAATCTGTCATCCTGTCATTCGTCGCTTCTTCTCTTGTTTTTTATCATGCGACTGAGGAAGAAGGTTGGAAGAAGGGCTCTTGCGCGATACACATTCGTCTGGGAATCCCTCTCCCCACGCTACAGCCCGATAGCCGCCACAAAACGCCTTGCGGGAACTTCTGCCCCTCAAGTGCGAATCTATTCTTATGTCAGTTTCATCCGCCGATCGCATTGTCGCGCTCTTCCTCGTACCACTCCACTGTTTCCTCGAAAACCCGAAAAACCGTGCAAGGATCCTCCTCAAGCTCACGCTGAAAACAGTGCGCATCCGCATCTGAGATCAATTTTCCCGTCCTCCAATCTCCTCCTCTTCCTGAACAAGGGATTCCACACCAGACCACTGGACGCGCCTTTCCTTCCTTTAAACCGCGCGTCAACGGTCAAACACTGCCGTGCCGGCACCCGTCTGTCTATTTTTGTCAGTGGATACACCTCACTACATGCGTGCATACTTGCTTACTCCCGCTGCTTAATCCGCACTGCGTGCAATTTACCCCAAGTATCAATCCCCGCCCTTCCAAATAGATAAATAGTTGCTCCCCGCCCAATGAATAAAATAGCACTCTCACGCCACTCTCCTATATTCATCCATCCGTCCAGCATCTCTCTCTCGGCCGCGTATGTACCCTCCTCCCAATCAAACGAGCCCAAAGTGAACGTGATATTATAAATAAAAATGTACCAGAACAAAAAGCGTTCGCGAATTTTTCCATCCCAAAGTTGAACTGGGGCCTCCCACATAGGAGTTAACTTAGCACGCAATTATTGTAGGTGCCCTGCCGAGTACGCCAACAGGTCTTTCCCTTATATTAATTTACCTGAATACACACGGTAGTTGTCCTGGTAAGTTGCAGATGAACGAGCCGGACAAAATATGGGTGCGCAACATATCAAATGACCTGTCCCAGAGTCGAACTGGGTAGTGCAAGCCATCAAAGAAACAGTCAGTTAATGTGGGTTCGCTGCCGAGTGCGCTAACAGGTGTTTCCCTCATATAAATTGAACACAATATATGCAGTTGCAGAAGCCTCTGAAATTAAAATGAAACATCGCGGAATAAAAACGCGGGTGAACTTCTGAAACACAACCCATCCCAGACATCCCAGAGTCGAACTGGGGCCTCCCACATAATGGATAGAATTAAAAGTTATTGTGGGTGCGCTAGCCACTGCGCCAACAGGTCCTTCTGCTGTATTAATTGGACCAAAATATATACGGTCTGAATTTAAAATGAAACGAGCCAGAGAACGTGGAACAAAGAAAAAGTGATGAATGACCTGTCCCAGAGTCAAACTGGACCTCCCACATGATGGCCTTCATTCAAAAATCAGCTACCTATTGTGGGTGCGCTGCCCACTGCGCCAACAGGTCCCTTTCAATTTGTAAAGTTAATTGAACCATAATTGAGAAAAATGACTTGAACGAGTTGGATAAAAATGGGTACGCAAAATCGGAGAATAACCTGTCCCAGAGTCGAACCAGATCCTCCCACAGATGCTATATTGGACTCGGAAGTTCCTAGCAGGCGGGCTACCATCTGGCCTGACAGGTCTTCCTGGTATCTTTATTGAACCATAATGTGTCTGAATTTGAATGAAATGTCTTCAAACAAAAGTACACAGTGGTCCACGAATGACCCATCCCAGAGTCGAACTGGGGCCTCCCGCGTCGGCTAGTTGTGATACGGAATTTCTAACGGCCGAGCTACCATCTGCCGTAACAGGTCCTGGTGTTAATTGAACTCGAATATAGGGCTTTGAACAAAGTGGAATGATTGACTGACTAATTAGGCCGAAGAAGATGACCTGGCCCAGTATCAACTTTAGGTGAGTCCTCCTGCACAACTGTCTAATATGCCGATTACGGAGGACGGAAATACTGCCAGGTCTGTCTTCTTGACGGCGAAACTATACAATGAAATTGAATGATTGAATAGCGGGGACAACAAAAATATTTATAGGATCCCGGCTCAGTCTCTGGCAATTCGGTCTGTCGCAATAGGTGCGGGGATTTCCCAGTAGTAATGATGGATGGACGAACGAATGGGAGACTAGAAAAAAAAAGATCAAAGTAGAGAAAATGGAAATGACCTGTCCCAGAGTTAAACTGGGGACTCTCGCAGAAGCTCATTTCGCCCTGGGCCAAATTTTAGCGGCCGCACTACCAACTGTACAAACAGGTCGTCGTCGTCACCTACGCGGAAACCGAAGAGGTCACAAATGAAGCAGACCCGATGTTTATCTGTGACGAAAGTAGATGAGAATTCGAAAGTGCTTCTTGTGACTTTATTCATATAAAAATCGGGCAGTTCAGACTCCTAGAAAGTCTGTACATAAAATACCGAAAACATTTGGTATGTATAGAGAAGTGCATTAGCCTAAGCACGCCGGAGTTTGAAATTGGCGGATGAGTTGCACATCGGTAAGCTGAGAGCCTGGCACTGTCAGAACTGATCACTACCAACTCGTCTTCTTCCGGATAGTCACCAAATGATTTTTTTTTTGCGCCAGAACGCTCAGCTCGGTTGCAGCTTGGGCTTTTATTTTCTACTTGTGGAATAGCCTCTGGTGGTCCGGGCGGGCCGAGCCAGTCATCACTGTTCCTGAGTTGATCGAAGACGTCCGTGCGTACACCGATTCGCTGCGCATAGTCTTCGCGCTCGGTAGCCCCGTCGCGGGGCTCACCCTCTTCTGCTCGCTCCTCATTAAGAATATCCACATCGAGAAGACGGCCTGGAGCCGTCGCCGAAGTGAGAAGGAGCACGCACAGACGAGGACGTCGAACGCAATGTAAACTCATGAGCCTACCCATATGGCATCATCCCTTCGGGATGTGAATTGCGACTCTGCGAGTATTTATTGTGTATTTAACCGATAGACCTAGACTCGTGAACCAGTCGACGTTAACGGGCGATCTCACTCAGAGAATTCCGGACCTAAATCTAAATTAGGAACATCAGTAAATAAGGACAAAAATCAGACAAAGAGCATACAACAGGGAGATCACCGTTAGCGGACTGGGCCCTCTGGGCACCATTTTAGCGGGGTTTTGGATGCCCTGCCATTTCAGAGGTGCGGACTTGTGAAAAATCAGGCTCGAAGTGTCCCAAATGCTCTGAAAAAGTGTCAAAAGTCCGTATATCAAAGTGGAATGAATTCCAATTCTAAGCAGAGTGAGCACAACATGTTTTGCAAAATTACACCAAATCGAGCTCATCGTGCGCGCACGGACCATTTGACGACGACGACCACATCAAAAGTGCCATCAGAAAAACATATATGCCTCATTCGATAGAGAATAAAAAACAAACAGTTATTCATGTAGGAAATTTGAGCACTTTTTTGGAGGTCGAGGCCGAATTTTTACGAAGTACGCACCTCTGAACTGGCGGAACGACGGAAACCCCGCTAAAACAGTACCGAGAGGGCCCAGCCGGTATCCAGGACTGCTATCCGAGCGTTAGCGAGTGATGGTGATGGGTTTGTCGCTGTTTTCCTGGATGCCGGATGGGGACGAGCCTACGATAGACCCAAAGGATTCCAGCAGCGCCAGGCAGAAGCCGACCACTGATTTCCCCAAGGCTCATACACACTCATTAGTAGTTATCTATTTATACACAACGTACTACTGTGAAGGGCTATTACTGGCTGCAAAATTAAATAACATAAGAAGAATATGTGCCACAATTATAGTTCGCGATCGATGAAGGTATTTACTGTATTTTTAATGTACTACGAAAATATAGACGCGTCGAAAGACACGCCGAAAGATATTTATACGGAGGTTCGTTGTTTCTTGCCTGGCGGCAATTCTCCGGAACCGTCCCCCATGCGCTTCGCGTCCTCCTTGGGCCGCTCCTCCGCGGCACACTTCTCTGCGAACCTCCGACGTAAAGAATCATATAGCTGCTGATTGAAACCCACACATTGCAATCCGGTGGCGACCATCTTGATTATTCCGTCCGGGAACATCCGTTCGATTATATTTTGAGCGTCAGCCGGAGGAAGCGTTCCTAAGGCCGCGTCGCGTATTTTTTTGCAGTCTGAGGTGCAAGGTGAGGTTATAAACGCGGTTACGCAGATCTCGACTCACAATGCCTTGCTGCGACGGAGTGCCCTCGGGATAAACCTCACGGAGGTCATGGCACTTGTAGGTGCCTGCATACATCACCCAATGATTGCAGTCCATGAATAATTCGCGCGTCCCGCCATGCAGAGTGTCAAGATCAGATCCCATTATCCAATCGTTGGCGGACTGGTCATAGCGATGGGTGGGACCAAATGCCAGTACATGCGACTTGACTGACGGGCGAGTGCGCTTGGGAAGATAGAGAACATGATTCAAAAATCTTCAAATATCAGGTTACTGCGTTGCTCTGAGGACTGGGTGCACTGACCTTTTCGAGTTTGAATCCTAAAAGTATCAGGTGTCGCCTCGAACTAATGTCGAGGAAAGGCTTACTGTTGCAAGATAGGAATACAAAATTTCTCGTTTATAGGACACGGGTTCTAATTCTTGATACCGAGGATGGGAGGCTGGAGATGTCAGAGCGGCCATGTGTTGTCGGTATAAATGGTTTGACTCCACGATCTATTTTCACGCGTGAGACAAAAAAGGCGAAGTTGGATACAACCATACCTTATTTCTGGCAAGAGTAGACCACTCCTCCGCTGTCAGATTCGGGGCTTTTCGCTCTAGTCGATCGATTTGTGCCTCCATCGGCGAGCATTTCCGCGACGGTGTGAATGAATAAAATTGACGACGGAGTGGGCAAACTCACCTCGCGCAGCTGCTTCCTTTCTGTCCTGACCTTTTCGTACTTGGTTCTCAATTTACCAAGCGCCTGAAGTATAATGAGCTCGAACGCATACAGAGAGAATCAAAGTACCTCGGTCGGCTCGTCCTACAAGAGCAATTGGGTTTAGCAAATCAGTGTGCTTTTGAGTGCAGGTGCAGACCACCTACTTCAACAGAACCGGTTGAGGCAGCCGCCGTTTGCAACACTTCCACTGATTCCGTTAACTGCTCGCATGTCTAGAGAATAATATATCAGTGTCAACGCACTCATAGATATTAGAATACTCGCCTCCTGCAACGCCGCCTTCTCCTCCTTTACCTGCTTGTACTTTGCACGCAGGTCCGCGATCTGGCCCAATATATTTGGCAGGGACGTGGAGATGAATCACGAGTCACTCACGGCGTCGTTGTGCTTGGGGATATCATCAGTAGATCACTATCAAGGCATTTAGAAACTTACTGTTGCAGCGGCACTCGTCACCTCGTTGACTTGAAGCTCGGCCTCAGCTAGCTTCTGTTCAAGGTCATCCTTTTGTGCCGACAGTCCGTCGTATTCCTGAAAAGGAATTGAGATGGATGCCTTCGAAAGTACTTACAATAAGATAACGAACACTCTGTAAATCGGCCCGCGCGGTCTTGTGCTTCAGCAGCCGCTCCTTCGTTTTCGCGAGCGTCTGTGAAAGTCAGAGTTGACTAGCTATATTCATGATCCAACGCACAGCGGTAGCTTTTGCACTCTACGACGCGAAAACGCCAGGTCAGATCACAAAAAGCGATATCCTGGAATTGCTCACCGCGCTTGTGGCAGCCAACACGTCCGTATTCAGGCTTTCTACCTCCTCCCTGAGCGAAGCAACATCGAGGGTGAGCTGGTCGTATGTCTAACCACATCGTGAATTTCGAATCATGTTCATTGATGAGGACCTACCATTTGAAGTTCCTGCTTTTCCGTCTTCGCATTCTCGTATTTTTGCCGCAGTTTGGCCACAGCCTTGGGAGTTGGTGAGGATGAGAGATGAGACGACACAGGGTGTTCTCACAGAATCAGATTTTAAAGCCTCTGCCTTGGCCAGTTCGAGCGCCTCGTGCGCCTGGTGCAACTCAATACACAAACACAAAAGTTGAGCGAAAAACCTATACGCACCGCCGCAAGCCCAGTCGCTTCCTTCTGGTGGGTCTCCGATCTCTAGCCAAGTGCTACAGTCAGCTCAAAGTAAGCGCGGACATGGACGGGACGTACTGCCTTCAACTCGACGTTCTCCTGCTCGAGGTTTTTTACCGTTGCCTCCAGACGTTGGCATTTCTTGGAATAAATTATCGCATGAGGTATGAGAGAGAGATGGCCCGTACTGTTCGGCATTAAGGGATGTGCCCGGGCCGCTCTGAGCAGCAGTATCCTCCAGCTGCAGCTTCTAAAGAAGTGACGAAGTCAGAAGAAGATGAAGCGTTGCTGAAAGATTTGTCTACCACTTCCGGCTCCTCCTCCTTCTTCACCTTCAACTCCTGTTCGACATTAAGGGATGTGCCTGGACCGCTCTGAGCAGCAGTATCTTCCAGCTGCAGCTTCTGAAGAA